AAAAATGGATAAACATGTAAATCACAAGCAAAGGTGTAGAGACATGGACTATCATGGCTTCTGGGAACAGAAAGAGCTAAAATCAGTGCTAGCATATAGACTCCTTTATTACAGCAGGCAGAAAAGAGAGAGGTAGAGACTTCCTGAGAGGTTTTCAAAGGCACACTTGATATTCAAGTTAGATATTGGTAAACCCTAGACTAACCTCTGTATATATGATAAAGCCCAACTAAATGCTGACCAAAACACGTTTTCTCCTCCAGGACCCGTAGCTAAACCACATTTCCCAAAGTTTTTGCCTGTAGGAAGGGCCGCATGATTAGTTCTCATCAGTGGAACATGATCCCTGCTGAGCAGTTAAGAGAGGGTGTGCCTTCTCTAATCTTTCCATCTACCAACCCGATGAAACCAGGTCAACCTTGACACCATGAGTTCGAATTTATTTGTCTGTAATGTCCAGGAAGCTTGGGTCCCTAAATGACTGGTCACAGCAGGGCCTCCTCACAGCATGCATTGTATTGTGATATGAGTGAAAAAATAGAACTTCATTAAGTTAAGCTAGACATTTTGAGGTCAGTTATTACAGCAGTTAGTCTTACTTATCTTGGGTAATACAATATCACAGATGGTTCACCTCCTGATATCTTAATGATTCTTTTCATAATTATTTAAGACTTTTAATTATTTCCCTTTATTTTCAATTTGTGTTTGGTTTATATAGTTGTAGTTTCCTTCATCGGCAGCATATATTTTTTGGTGTAACGAGTTGGATTATCATATGCCCTCCAACCTCAAGGTTATTGGAGAAAACACAAAGGAGGGGTCTCCACACAGCAATATGTTTTTCTCTTGTCGTGGCCGAAATGCTACCATTTCATATTCATTTCGATAGGTGTTCTTATTTTCAGATAACATGTAGCCACGTATGAGTGTAAGATATGTATAAGGTAACTCACTGAGCTATTACTGGCCTCCAGATGATGAATATTAATATTCCAGCCTTTGAAAAATATGCTGGTTCTTTAATGATTAAAGAGGAAGCAAGTGTCGGTAAGGGCAGGTCTGAAGAGCTAGGCGTGGCATAGGATGTTTCCAACTGTGTTTCAAGGAAACTAGATTTCCACAGAGGAATCTTCAAGTCTACCTGAAAAGGCAGGGGAGGAAAATGCCTGCAGAAGTCTGAGCACCTACTCCTCCCATCTCAAAGCCAATCAGAGCAGTCTTATTGCATTTTTTTAATATTAGAGTTTCATGTTGATTTTCTTTAAAAAGAGAGGATATCTAACATTAAAAACAAATAAAATTGTAAGACTACTAATCTATAATAAGAGTCTCCAGAGAGGGGTACAGAAGATGACCCCTGAAATTCCAGAATAAGATATTTGAACTTCCATTTACTAACATGTTTTTGTGTTGGTTTTTTTTCCCCCCAAAAAGAGAGAAAGAAATTAAGCTTTACTAATATTTAATGTGAGTATTGGCTCTGGCATCCCCACTTGGTCCATAAGTAGGCAGTCACCCAATGTTCTTGGGAGTGGATGAGAACACAGGATGGGGGTTAGGGGTAGGCTCTCTCCTTCATTCACTTTCAACATATTGCCACATGTTGCAATTTCTGTATTTAAGTAGATTTATAGATGATATTTAAACTAACTGTCACAGCATGGACCAATAGAGATAGTGTTAATAATGCAAGAACTGGCAAACACAATTGGCTAAGCTGACATTGCTGACACCCTTTAGGAGCCACAATGGAAGATGAAAAACTAGTGACAGGTCAGATCTGACAATAAGTTGGCCATAATAATTGAAGTTACAAAGAATACTATTTTAAGTATGAATTGACATCAACTTACTAACATCATCTTCACTATACGTGTTATAGTAATAGCAATATTATGAACTCTCACAATTAGCTAGCCATTTAAAAACTAGACATTCAAACATGAAGATAAAACTCAGCACTACTTCCAGGATATTTAAGTAAAATACTCTTCAGGCTAATATTTTAAATAAAACACTAATTATAAACACTAAAAAGCCTCTTCTGAGCTTTCTTAAAAATGGAAGTCGAAAAGCAACATGCAGTTGAGAAAATAGTTTTCTTCCAAGATAAAGGTGGCTGAAATATACTGTGGAACACAAATGGAAAAAAAGCCTGCATTCTTTTGAGAGCAAATACCTTGAGAATATAAAACCCTAGACCCAAAGATACAAGTTTTGGAACAAGTTACATAGCATGGGAAGTTTACAACAAGGTTAAACTGAAACCACAGATGTTTTTAATATGTCTCATGTTATGGTATTTAATAGATTCTGCTTCGGTGTGGTATTTACTAAATTGTGTTTCAATAATGAAATAATTTTAAAATGACATTTTTTGTGTGTGAGCCATAGTAGAGAAGGTATTCCATCTCCTACATCTTTCAATGATATTTTAAATAATAATTGACTTTTAAGAAATAAAACTGTTTTACACTTACAAAACTTGTGTAAGTGTAACCTCTGATGGATTAGTTATTTAAACTAAAAAAAAATTTTTTAAAATAAAGGAATCCAAGCTAAGGTTAGAATGAGAGCAACCACATAAGATTCTTTCACAGTATGTGTGTGAATGTATACTTATATACACATATATACATAAAAATATATATAGTTATTCCAGCAAAGAAACTGGAGCCAGAACACATAACTGTATAGAATGTTACCAATGTGGTTAATTTTGTGAAAACAAGATTTGCATAGCATTTTAATTTCTTCATTGTGAAATATAACATACAGAGAAGTGCATAATACCTATGTACATAGGTTAATAAATAATTATAAAATAAACATTTCTGAACATGTGGCTGCACGCACCCACACACTGAGGCCTGCGAATGTACACATACCCCTGGTTGCCCTACCTTGGTTACACTCTTCTTTTTCTCAGAGAAAATCACGAGCCTGACTTTTGTGATGATTATTTTTCCTTATAGCTTTACTACTTATATGTGCAATCCTAAACTGTGCATTCCTAAACTGTACTTCTCTTTAATTTTTATATGAGGCATCACAATGTATATATTCTCTTGTGCCTTGGTTCTTAAGCTCATCATCATTTGTAAGATTTATCCATGTTGATGTAGCTGTGATTCATTCTTCTTTTTCTTTCTTTCTTTCTTTCTTTCTTTCTTTCTTTCTTTCGGCATCACAATGTATATATTCTCTTGTGCCTTGGTTCTTAAGCTCATCATCATTTGTAAGATTTATCCATGTTGATGTAGCTGTGATTCATTCTTCTTTTTCTTTCTTTCTTTCTTTCTTTCTTTCTTTCTTCCTTCCTTCCTTCCTTCCTTCCTTTCTTTCTTTCTCTTTCTCTCTCTCTCTCTTTCTTTCTTTTATTTATTTATTTTTTTTACTGCTGAATAGCATTTGATGGATAGGTATGCGACCATTTATTTATCCATTCCATTGTAGATGGACATGTGGGTTATTTCTAGTTTTTGCCTATTACAAAGCTGCCAGGATTACTCTTGTTTTAAAATATAGTTTCTTGATATGCTAGGTCACAGGGTGTGCGTATGTCCTACTTTGGTAAATAATACCCAACAAATTTCAAAAGTGATTTTAATGATTATGCTTCTAATTGCAGGGCATGAGAAATCTCCCCATAATCCTTTACATACTTAAATATACTTACTATATGCCAGATACTATATTAAGTGCTTTACAAATTCTGACTTATTTAATTATCATAATGACCCCATTGAGTTGGTTCTATTACTTCATAATTTACAGGAGAGAAAATTAAGGCATGAAGAGGCTAAGTAACTTGCCCCCAGCTATGTAAGTAGTGAATAGAGGAGCTAGGATTCCAACTTAGGTGATTGGCTCCAGTCTCTGCCCTTACTCACTATGCTGAGTTGGTGTTTGTTATTTCCTTTGTTGTGTAATTCTTGGGATTGAAAATAATACATGTCACCTATAAAAACTCTTATAGGATTTTTAAACCAACCTAAACATTTTCCAAATAAAATTTCTATGGATTTTGAAGCCATTTGTTAAAAATATAAAAATGTATAACACCTTCTCATTCGCAGGAACAAATGAATAGCAGTAGACAAGATGGAGTCATCAGATTTCAGCCAGAATCTTTGCATGATGAGTGATGGGCCTGAAAAGTAAGTATCGTGATTTAGTAACCCAGCTAATGAAGCAGTTCTTTCATTTTAATCCACATATCTTTGTGAGCTCTTCTCAGAGAGCCTGGACATAAACTGAACATAAAAGCAGACATCTGCATTGCTGTATCACAAAATGTTAAAACAAGATTTTAAAAATAATAAGGCATATGCAATTACTGTTCTCCCTAATAAGCTTTATTAAAATAACATTTTAGGGGAAAAATGTATTTTGTATTATTATTCATACATTTTCAATGATTTAAACTATAATTTATTAAAAATTTGTGCTCAATATATTGACAATAATGTATGCATGTAATCTCTAACTAAAGATATTGGGATGTGCTCAAAATTCTTTCTGATATTATGCTCAGTCAAAAAAGTTTGCAGATCACTTGGTAAGTTATATAAATGTCTAACCACTATGTTGTACACCTGAAACTAATACAACATTGAATGTCAACTGTAATCGAAAAATAAAAAAAATAAATTAAAGAATAAAGTTTGCAGACCTCCCAGTTTGGTGCCTAGGGCTGTGCCCTAGAGAGCAAGCCTAGAAGGACACCATGGTGGAGTCCCGGGCTGCCAGGAAGCAGAACAGAGAATGTGGTCTGGCATCTGGCTGCTGGGAGTGAGGGAGGCTGTGAGAGAGGAAGTAAGGAGGAGATAGGAGAAGGCAACACAGATAAACTGCAGACCTACTTGCCTAGAAATCAGCCTGGTGAAAAAAGTATTTGTATTAACTAATCTAACGAGAGATAAAGTTTGCAAATTTACACAAAAATCATAAAATTTAAGATTTTTTTTTTTTACGAGAGCTTGCATACACTTCATATAGAGTAACCTAAGCAAAGTCATGTACCGAGGTCGGTAACCATTACAGTCATAAGAAAAGCCTACTTGTTTTTTTACCTGGGTAATTTTTCCCAGAAAAAGAGCTGACAATTTTCTTCTAAATTGTGGATTACTTCTAAATTGCAAGGCTACAATATTATTAGTTCTGTTTGGAGACACTAAAGTGGGAATCCAAAATGTTATTTACACGCAAAATGCAACTACCCTAAGCTGTTTCAGAAAAGTCTAAAATATTCATTTGTTTGTATTTTGTACTTATGTTATCCACCTACTTCCATCATTGTACTCACTTGTGTTTTTCAAAAACCTGTTCTGTTTTTCAGTTAAAATGTTACTTTAAAATAACAGAGCATATGTTCCTTTGAACCAGGACTGCCTTTCTCTACCAGCATTTTTCAAAGGATTGAACTTCAAAGATATCTGGTCATTTGGCCTTTAATCTGCCTGCTCTGTTATTTAGCCCTGGAAAAATATATATACAAGTATCATAATCAAGCACTATGGATTATATCATTTATTTATGTACAATATTTTTTGACATTTTCCTTTTGTAGCCACTAATACAGAAATATAGGATATTAGATTTAAATGGTGTAACACTTTGCTGATAGACCTTTTTTTGAAGAACTCAAATACATTAAAAAATAGATTATTTTTCAGTATTACTATGATCTGGCTCTAGTTTTAACTATACTAAAAGTTGTACCATTTGCAATTGCAAATCTTCTTAAGTCTTCCCCATCTTTTGTACTCCTTGTACTTGCCATGCTCATGCCTCACTGCTATGGCCATCGGCTGGATATTATCCGAACTGGGGCGTTTCACAAGCATATGCTTTGAAATGTTCTCTTTTTTCATTCAACAGCTATCACAAGCCACTTAATCTGATTTAGGCCCTCATACAATACTTCTGATCCTTATTTTTCTAGACTTGCTTTTTACTTTTCATGTCCGAATCTATAATCCCACCTGCAGTTTAACACTCTATTTTACAGTGAACAACAATTGAAATTTTCTTATAGAGATTTATTTCTGAGGAAAGCCCAACTGATACAATTAAATATGAAGTTGGCAGTTTGTATCCTTGGCGAATCGTCCTTTTGGTATTCTAACAAATTGCCTAGCTGAGGCATTTAAATTTTTTGGCTTATCTGAGGGACATTTTTTTCTCTTCCTTTCTTCCTGCTTCTCACTTTCTCTAGAGATTCCCATGGACACATTCTTACACTGATCTCCATGTTCCTCTTTAGAGCCCATTCTGTTTTTTAAATCTTAATCTGGGACTTCAATATTATTTTTGATTGATATGCTCTCCTTTCACCTTCAAATTAAAACATCTGGACTTGTGTAATTATTATGTCTCCAGCTATGCTACCAGTTTCTTTCCCCACTGTAGCTAGCCAGATCCAAACCCCTTCTTCAACCAATAACTGCCGCGCCCTGCCCCACATTCTACTAATGAAGGGGCTTGATCTATGTGTGCTTCTCAAGATGTTCTACTGTTACAAGCTTTGTCTGGTGTTAAGACCAGGGTAGGACAAGGGCAATTCAATCCACTAAAAGGTATTCATACTTTCTTAGTGAAATGATAAAGGAAAACAAAGCAAAGGTGCTTCTGGACTAATTTCAGTGGCAAGCATTGCTGCTCAAACTTTCTTCTGAAATACCCTGAAAAAGAGAAGTGTTTGAACGAACTCCTCATCATTCCCATCCCTAACATCCCACCAAGGTGGTAGCATAAGTTGCCCACTGCAAACCCAGTATTTTTTTTTTTTTGTCTTCTCAAGTTTTGCCTTTGAGCTATAATATATCCTTATTGATGTAATATAAAAATATGAATTAAATTACCTGACAACAGGTGAAATTAAAATATGAGTCTTTTATACTGCATCTTTTCTTTCACATACTTTGGTTTACTACTATGGAAACTGGCAAATCTTAAGGAGAATTTATGAAATTCTAATGGGCGGGCGAGGAAACTTTTTTTCCTAGTGAAATCTGGGGTAAAAATGACACTTTGTTGAACCAGTCAGTCAGAAACTTATCTTTTTGTAAGTGAACAGAAACAAAATAATCAGTAATTGTTATTGGAATGTTTGCCATGTTGGAAAAAAATCCTGTTTTTCCTGGTCATTATGTCTAACTCTTCAGAATTGTGGGAAGAGTCAATGATTCTATGAACAAAAAGAATGAGACACTCAGAAATGTGCTATGCTGGCATAACGCAAGAGGCCATGAAGTATAATATAATACAAACAAAACAGACAAAAAAGCAGAGTTTACATTGCTTTGTTTTGTTTTGTGATAAGCGTTTTAGAACTCACTAGCTGTAGCCTTCAAATGGAACAGTCTGTTTCTAGGTCGCTACCCATGAGCAGTCACAAATTGTACACTATTAGTAACTCCCCATGCTAGATTCTAGAATTAGGAGGCATTTCCAGCCAGTGTATTTTATTAACTCACTATGATTTCTAATAAATTACTCAGTCCTCTTGCATTAATCTATGATTACAACAATGTTTTGGTACTGACTCCATCATGATCTCAAATCAATTTAAAAAGAGTTGCTGTTCTAAACAACCAAGCTAGAAATGTCATAGGGAGAGGCCTGCTGAGCTGCTTAGGCTGGCCTCAGGATGACATTGCCTCAGCTAAGTCACATTTTCCAGAGCTCATTCCTTGGTTTTGGAAGCCCAGAGATTTTTATTTTGTCAGGATGTCCAGAGCTGATCATACTCAAGAGATGAGGCTTGTGCTAACTCAATGCACAAGAGGCCAGTGTATAAACTAGAATACTAATTTGCTAATTATAATGAGAAGGGGTACTGTCAAAGGGCCCAGAAACCTATAATATGTGGCCAATACATTGTTTTCTCTGTAGGAAAGCCCACATGGGAGGCACATTTATCTTTTCAGTTCAACATACATTTGTTAAGCATCTAAGGTACAGATCATTTTGATCCCAAGGATGTTTTGCATATATAAACACTTTCATTAGAATCATGGCAGCATTGAATTGTCATAGAAAAATTATTTTCCAAAGCAAACTACATTAAGCCAATTTATGCCTTGATCAGTTTTCTAAAGTTTTCTCTTCTGATTAGCAGAGTCAGCCTTTTAGGAGAGACTAATAACTATCTGCATGATGGAGTTTACCATGAAGATCATCTAATAGCCACATTCACAAAGCCACCTATTAAATGTGATTCTTAACGCAGAACTTTAGAGGAATCTGATAACCCGCTGAAGGTATGCAAACAATTGCATAAAATGAATATATAGTTTTTTACTAGTAGATTCTTATATCAGGAAGTGACCTAAAAACTTAAAGTCTTCCAGAGCTGACCTGGGCATCTAGGCTACCAATATTACCCACTATTCAAAAACATAGGGCAAATTCTTGAAAACATCATAGCCAGTTTAACCTAACATGCCCCATTCCTGATATCCTTATTACAGGCTCAACTCTAACTTATCCTGGTCATCCGGGTTTGCCCATGCTTTGCTTCCTGCCAATCTTTCTAGTTTATCTTCTGGAATTCCAGCTGGGGTGAGGGGAAGAGCCAGACCACTACTCCTCCATCCTCGGGAAGAACTTACTTTTTTGAGATCCAAGAGAGACTATACTCCCCTTTATCTCTCCTGTTGCTGTCATTTAGCAGCCTCCCAGCCAACCCCACCAGCTACCCACCCCCACCCACATACATTATTTATTGTTTTTCTCTGTGCCCCAGTTTGTACATGGTCCTTCATGGTGTCCCAGCAATTTAAGCCTTCGCACTGTCCATCCCTGTCTTTGACATCTCCATCCTTCTCCTCTCTTGTGTTTTTTTCTCACAGACAAAAAGGAAGTCTCAGTTTCCCACTAAGGCAACAAATTTATATGCAGCCACATACATCCTTTCCTTTTCCTTCAGTCACAGTACAATAAATATCCCCCCTCGTATCCCTCTGGCAATGCTGCATGTGCTTCCCTTTTGACATTGGATGGACTGCATCCCACCTATTCCCCCTTTCTTCTCCTGTGTCTTCAATGTCTTCAACATTTACCCCTCTACTGATCTTTCCTATCAGTGTTTAAACACGTCCAAGACTAGCTACTATTATTTCTTTCCCAGCTGGCTAGAAGCACTGTTTTTTAA